GAGCCATTGAGGACCATTTACGGGCCTGAGTCAAGGGAAGCGATACTCGATTAGCCAACCTTCAATATACCGCCACCCTCCCATATCGCCTCTCCTGAGAACAAATATTCCCCACGAGCTTATCATAGGCAATCCGCTGTTAAAGCGCCACCCTCACAAGCCGCGATCAGCCAACTCTCAACAATTGAACAAACATCCTTTTTCCCATATAAATCCTTCTCGATTTTTCGCCAAGTAGAATACTTGCCACAACCGTAATCCAGTACTATACACAGCTACTTGTATGTTGCAACTGTGAGAGGTGACTCAGCCATGGAATCAACAGTAAGTAGGAAAAGTGTAGATTATCTGAGGGGAATAAAGATTGCATCTAAGGACATCCTTTTGTCAATATATATTTCAGAGATTTCATTATCGTCACTACAAGCATACTGCGGGTCATTCGATATAGTGCCACCCTTGTTATACCGTCAAAATCTGCGTCGACCGACAGTGACGTTATATCGAGGGTTCACATTACCTATTCGGTTGACGCGTTTCGACAGCTGAATGTCGACATTCTTGCTTTTACCTGAAAGTCGAGTGGTCTGAAGTCTGGGGATTGTGCTGGCCACTCAATGTCATCTCCGTGAGAAATGAGCCACCGAACGAATCTCTCTCTCAGCCACTTATGACAAATGAGGACACGGTAGGGCGTTTCATCTTGCTGGAAAAAAATATTCCGTTTGTGCATGTCAAGTATCACTTAAGAGGACACTTTTCTGGCCGAAAGTGCATTACAAATGGAATATTTTTTCTAGCAAGATGGGGCAACCTGCCACACTGCAGGGAACCGGGAATTCTAGAAGGGAATGCATGGGATGGGAGGAGGTCGGGAGGATTTGGGTGCTGAAAAGTTCAAGGCGGATGCCACTGTAGTGAAAAAATACAAATATTCACGGAAATTGTCGACATGGGTCTTTCGCCCTTTTGAAATGGCCATGGAAATATGCGCCCCTGGGCAGACTTCCTCGTTCTGTGTTGCCGTATTCCCAAATCAAAGGAAGGGAATTTGTTTAGTTATGATTATGGCAAATGGTGTGATTTTCGTGAGCACCAGGAATTTATTCTCTCTCACCACTTCGACGAAAGAAGCAACTTCTTCCATTTCCTCATTTTCTTGTTCTTGCTGAGAAACTCAAAATTTATTAAGCGAATGAGTAAGAGCTCAAACGTAAGTAACAGCTGCGTTCTTGCAAATATTCGGGATACTTCATGGCTGACTTGGAATTTCGATTGGATAATCTCGGCGAAAGATGACACAATACCTGGTTGTTTTGGGATCCCTCCCTTTCCCAAGTAGCACACTCACGGTGAATTAACGTTGACTCAACGTTATTACATTATTAATTCAACGTTGTTATGGTCCCAACCCAGTCAGGTGCATTCCACTCTTTTCTTGCCTGATCAGTAGTGCCCAGGGCCAGATACAAGGTGACCAGCTAAAAACCTAAAGCCTTCTTCATTAATGGTTTCTTTGGTCTCAGTTTCCAACTCAAGATCACCCTTTAGCCCTAAAGTTGGAATGACTCCTTCAGAGCTTGAATATTCACCTCGTAGAGCTTCAATCAAGTCTGTGATGCAGATGTTCTCGATATTAGTGCCATCCTCCCATCTCAGTTCATATCTCAGGAAAGCATCGTCATGAAGATCTGAGGGCAATTCCCCCGTGTCAGGTAGGTCCTTTTTACTTGCTACGAAATGATATCAGCATCTTCATGATGTTGGATGAGGAAACAATGGAGATACTCGTCCTCATCCGTCTGAGAAATCTAATACGATAGATCGCCTCTATATGTAGAGGTTGATCATAAAATCTTTCCAGTACTAAATGCGAGAAAAGAAACTTCAACAGAGACAAGAGAAAGTTCAGCCAAGGAGAGTGTATACCAGTGACGTGATCGCTTTTAGAGCCCCCTCCCCTATGTTGAGATGTAGCCGGATGTAACTCAACCTTATTTTCGTCTAAACTGGTCGACTTGCCTCCGGCCATAGCGTCTTTTCGGCACGATGCCCTAAGGGCACACGAGGAGCATAACAAAGCGGCAAACGACCTAGAGAACGAACTGAGCACATACCAACTTCTAGTGGCTAGCAAACTCCAGGTACGTGCGAACCTGAAAACCAAACGCGTTGCAAAACGGGGTGAGGTAGGAAGCCCCTCGAGACGAGTTGGCTAGGGTAATCGGCGAAAATTTTTCAGATCGCCTCACTAGATATCTGATGTAGAGACCGAGTGGGATCTAATTCGATCTGGTGTTTCGGCTGCAGCGATGAAAGTAAGTGGCGAAAAGCGAATCGAAGCGACAAGCGATAACACGAAGCGAACTCCATGGTGGACACCAGGGGTACGACTGACTGTTGCTGCCAAGAAGGGAGCCTATACCGCGTACATTTTCAGTGGATCGGACTCTTCGCGGGCGTGTGAGAGAGGCGTGAAAAACTGCTGCTCTAGTCGTGGTCGAAGTGAAACAGGGAGCATGGAAGAAAGTCAGCGATTAAATGGAACGCGACTATCGCTCTGCCAACAAGGTATTCTGGCAAGCCCAGAAGGAAGGAAAAGTCAGGATTAAAGAGGATTTTTAAGATGCCCCTTGAAAAAGACAACATGATGACATTGCGGAGTCAGTCAAGTTGCAATAAGAATTCAGCCGTAAGAGGCAGGTTTTTCTGGCGACAAGTGGGACTCATTAGTGGAGTTCTGCTGAAACTGCTGCCTCCCAATTCGTGATAAGGCGGAATTTTCTTATAGAAGTTTCAATGAGAGTAGCTCTTTAGACGAAAACACCTAGAGACTTCAAAACATTCATGAAACAAACTTTAGAGAGTTTTCTGTGCGAAACAAAAAAAAATTGACTAATGGCGCACTTATACAGACAGTTTTTATAAAGCCTCAAGCAGGACACCTTTTTTTGGCACCACCCGAAATAAAAAGCTATAAGAACTTGTAATTTGTGTCATCCTTTCCCGGAATATAAATTTTGACTATGAATTGAATATTCCGTGACTTCAAAGCAACTGATATTGGCGCAAAGTACCTGTTATGGATATCGGGATGTTCTTGAGACACAGCATTACAGCATGATCAGTGGTGTAGCCAAGAGTCAAAGAGAAGGGGAGGGACTGAAATTTCCCCAAACTTCTGTACGCATATGCATTGGGTGTGAATTGGCCATGGGGCTTTCGCAAGATGCGCATCCACGGCGATGGGAGGGAGACGGGACCAGATCTCAAGGCTGCGGTACGGCGTGATACAGGCTATTCCTCGAAAGATATCTTAGGCCTCCGTTTCCATCGATCCACGCATGGGAACCGTCGTCGTTGAGCACATTCACATTCAAGGGGGGCACCAGGTATACAACTCCTTTTGTTTCATTCGTCTCATGTTTTCAAATGCTTGTCGTGTCTCTCCCGCGAAATTCGCGTCTCTATCATCCGGAGATTTCCGAGCTGCATCGCTTCGAATACCGATATGAACTTTATGGCCGCCTCATGCGCTGCACAATGCCTGTGCAGCGCATGAGGCGGCCATAAAGTTCATATCGGTATTGGTATCGGATAACGTGGGGAAATTTTCAACGCAGGGGAATGAATGGGAAGTTTGTTTTGAGTCACCCGTGGAGTCGCTCATTCAATGACCCTGGGAGTGGGTCATTGAATGAGCGGCACCCATAATCTACTTTTATCTCTCGTCCCCCTTTCTTCGTGTAGAGGAACTGTCAGAGAAAAATGGCATCAACCTTATTACGTCCAACTTGTACCGCTTACAAAGGACATGAAATATCGGTTCGTTTTCGCAATGTTGACGTAGGTACTAGACAGTAAGCAACTAGGATAGTAATAAAAAAAAAATAATAAAAAAAACAAACCTCGGTTAATACGAAAAAATTGGAGCTGAAAATCCTTAAATAAACTTACTTATGTGCCAGGTATTTAGTATATTTTCCCCACAGAGATTNGATATCGAAATGGGCGAAATCGCCTCTTGATATCACTAACTCTCCTGACTCCTGACTCCTTTTGTTCGCCGGGACGAATGACGATGCTCAGGCATCAAGAAAAAAAAAGGAACAAAAGTACAAGATGGAAGTACATTTGCGTTTTCTGCTTCCACATCGACCTAAGACAAGGGAAAATACTGCTTTCAAATAAAGGATAGAAATTGCCTCTATAGGATGTGATTCTGTTTCGGGACGGCTTTCCCCAAATCTCTGTGGGGAAAATATACTAAATACCTGGCACATAAGTAAGTTTATTTAAGGATTTTCAGCTCCAATTTTTTCGTATTAACCGAGGTTTGTTACTTATGTTAAATGATGTTTTTCTTCTTCGCATTTTAGATCCTGTTGATGGCCGTATTTTTTTTTTTTTTTTTTTTTTTTTGCTGCTGAAATGGTTCATACGCGTAGACTTACCCAAGAGCAAAGGATTTTAACCATGATCAGGTAAACTAGCTTATGGGCCACCCTGTATAAACGAAAAACTTGTGTTGCATCATCGACCAGAGATGCCCACGTAGACATTGTGATATCGCATCTTTCTCTCCTGTTCCCTTCAAGACCAAAGCAGTAAATCCATCAGAATAGTGTAGGAGTGTCAAACATACACCGGGGAGCCGGATGTGGCCCACGGAGGTTATTCATCAGGTCCGCCGTCTGTTCCTGAAATTTCCGCCCGGATTGACTCACAGCACCCTCCGCGACGGTCCCATGGGTGCGGTCCGCAGGCATCTGCAGGGTAAGGAATGCGGCCCGTCGACCGATTTCAATTTGACACCCTTGGGTTAGAGGATTCGCTAAATCGAAAAATCAATTCGAGGCGTCTTCTTATTATGAAGGACTTGAAAGAGAGAGACATACATTCGGATTTCACGATTTCCTTGAGCGGAGACCATATCTTTATGACTCTGCCAAGTTAAACATCTCGGGGTTCCTTTTTTTTCCCGGCCATTTCATCACCGGATGCCGTTGTCAGTGCGGTGAACACAGATACGATGGAATCCTTTCAAACTGTTTTCTTCTTCTTCCTCTTGCTTTGTCTGGGGTAAGTGACTTTTCGCCGCGGCTTTGTGAGTTGCGAGTCTTCGTATTCGGCGAACGCCGGCGAAAAACAAAAATACTTTATTATTGTAGTATAGTATATAATTTGTGCGATAGCATTTTGAACTGCCGTTAAAGCATTTCCATTTCTTTCGTGACCTGCAATCACATGCATGGATTCTCGTGCACTCACGTGTATTTGATCGTTGCGTTTGAAGCCAGGTCAGAAGAGCAGACGAGGTTGGGCCACATCCCAGCGGGGAGTGGGGCTCGAAGGGCAATCACTGGTATACATTTTCCTTGGCTGACTGATAAAATCTCCTTTCTCTCATCTATTTCACCTATTAAAAGAGACATTTGTCATGTTTTTCTTATCATATTACCTTGCTCTTGTATGCCTCTATTCCATTGCGCTTGCACGATTGCAATGCTTGATTGTGGCGCTGCCAAGTTCGAATCTTTCTGCGTCGCCGGTCGCATGTACAGTCGCCGCCTGCAAAAAACACGAATGATTTTGCTGCCAACGGAAAGAAACTTTCGTTTCATCGTTTCAAAAGATGGCGGGTTGAGGAGGACCGTGGTGATTCGGTGAAAGCGCGCGGAATCTTGAATTCCTGATGTGACCTAAGGGTGGGATCCCGGAACAATCCGGTTGGGGTCGATCCTCATCTTTCGCCGAGATGATCCAATCGAAATTCCAAGTCAACCATCGAGTATCCCGAATATCGGCAAGAACGCGGCTTTTCACCCGGATTCGCTTCATAAATTGAGTTGCTCAGCAAGGACAAGAAAGTGAGGGAGAAATGGAAGGAAATCCTTATTTGAAGTGGTTAGATTGAATATCCTCATGGTGCTCGCTACAGTCGCATCCCCCTTCAACTTTTCAGTACGAAATCCCGTTTCTCATCCAATGCATTCCCTCTCGCATTTTAAGGGAAATTTTCTTCTGAGAGATTGGTTTCGAAATGTGGACGTTATGCCTCAAATCAACCCATAACATTGGAGAAAAATCAATGCCGAAAAGGGAGGTGTCGGGGCAGGTGTATACCATTGACGAGAATTGCCCTAGGGCGAGAACCGCCATTATTCGGGGCTTGGCTTTCGGCCCAACCTCATCTACTCTTCTAATTTGGGGTGAAATGAAACGCATGGGAGCCCTCACGGGTCCACACGTTGGTGCTTAGAGGAAAACGCAGTGGCTGGTATGCAAGAACGTACAAAACTGATATAAATAGCCATTTTGGAGGGTATCATATGATAAGTTTGATAGGTTTGATAGTTGGCCATATGCAGAAACCTTTTATACCTATCATGATAGGTATGGGAATCGCTTCAATCTATTATGATCTAGATCTTGTTTATTCTGCTTATAACGAGCTACCAGGGTGGATGCAATGCATTTTGCTAAACCGATGAATTATGCAAATCGTCGCAACCTGTGCCGAGCGCAGCCACTCTGGGATAAATTAGAGAATTTAGATTTCTTTGTATCAAGCTACGGCAATCGGAATTCGAGCACTAGTCTGGTAAATGGGGCCAGATTAATACCGATAAATCATCACACAACACTCTGATCAGTCATAATGCGAGCAGATACTCATGGCATTGTTTCTGGGTGCAATACGATGGATAGGAGGTTGTCAACTGGAAGCTTCACGAACTCCTATCATGATTCCTCTGAATGCGAGTGAAGATGCATGTAAACGCTCTTCCTTCTGTACTCAAACGTAAGCGGACGCGTGTCGACTCACATGTAGCATCCATGACAAAATCACACCCGTCAGACGCAACGTGTGGAAGGCTCGTAGACATAGGAGGACGCAGATCCATCATAAATCTTTTTGGATGCGAATATCCACTTTGCTTTTCTGGCGTTGAACTCGCGCTGAAACAGTCGGTACTCCTGTCGACTCCGGTTGACTCACCCTTGGGTGCTCGCTCTAGACCATCAGAGCATAAAATTGCCTTTGGTTTCTTGCATATTTCATGAGCCCTTGATTCGATTTGATCGCCCTCTAATCGAACTTCCTGCTGCCGTCAACTCTCAATCTGCATAGCATAATCGAGAGTCTTCATCAGTCATTCTCCGGCACATCGGTACTTTATGAGGCTCCAAAAAGGTCACCGGGACGGAAAAAAAACATGATTGAAGTGCCTACGCCAGAGAAAAAATAAGATGCCTAGACATCTAGGCATCTTATTTTTCCCTGGCATGTAGGCATTTTTTACCTGGACGTGACCTAGGTAAACAACAAAGAAAGAGATGGGAAGGGTGAGCCATTCACCTATTAGCTTAATCATTAGGTCCAACCTACTTATGCGAGCGAGTATCCAAAAGATTTTGCCCACGGGTACTATAAGCGACCAGAGGGGATTCTAAGTTGTTGCCCTTATAGGTTGAGTAAGGGCATCCTGGTAAGCGATTCCTTTTCAAGCGTTACTTTTAAATTCATATTGAACAATGGAATTTAATTATAGATGTAGTCTATTGGTAATTTTCGGAAATTAGAGAAAGAGCAGCGGAAAACATTATTATCTTATCAATAGTACAGGTATTCATGAGGATGTAAGCCTACTTGTGTATACGGCTTCGACCCTTCCGCATGATTTCGAGGGAAAAACTCCGTAGAACATGCCGTGAAAGTGATGATGGAGTCGAGGCAGCTATACGAGCACTTTTCCACTCCTATCCATTTATTTGATTGCAGTGGGATTCATGCCTTTCTTCATCGATGGCAAGAATGCAACCAGGAGGAGATCTCCTTATCTCCTTAAAAAAAAAATGCTAATTTGTTTCATGAGTTACTTTATACCTCGTGGTAGAAATTGTTGGGTCCTCCCTCGCTAGTCGTACAGGAGGATAATGAGAACTCGCTATGCACTGCTAATTTCTTTATGCTGGCAATATTTTCTACCGATCGGAGTGAAAATTCTGGGAAAGCTTTGGACTCGGCTCTATCGCAGTCCTCGATCTGAAACCATCCACGCTCATGATTCTTGAGCAAATTGGGAAAACACTCGATTCGAAAACTCGATACCACAATGGTTCAACTATGACGTCTCCATTGTAACTAGTTGTTACCCTACGCTTGCTGATGGGAAGATCCTGCTTCAAATTGTGGCAGGAGATCTCGAGCTTGAGTCTCACGAGAGAGAGTCAAGAACTTTTTAACATTGGATAAATTCTGTCCATCCATACATGTGAAGGGAATTTTTAAAAAGCAGAAAATGGTTCATGGAACTGAGATTGAAACGGTGGTTAGCAATGACCGATCGATGCGTTATATGGAGATATCATGCACGGACATCCCTGAATTAACAGGATGGCGCCCAGCACGCTTTTCAATCCTGCACACAGAAAATTCAGTGCCTCAGTTCGATGCATTTTTCTCGCGAAAAAATCTGTCCTCCATGTGATGCGTCTTTATCGCATCGAATTTTGGATGCGATAAAAACGCATCACATGGAGGACAAATTTTGGATGCGGTAAAAACGCATCACATGGAGGACAAATTTTTTCTCTACCAAATTGCATTAATTTGATTCTGCGTGTATAGGACGATCGCCCACCTCCTATGGGACACTTATATTTTCCTCAACGAAGCAGCTGTCACTGCTTCAATCGCATATCATTTTAACTATAAAATATAAACATGCATAACACTCAATACGAATGGTGGTGTCGGGCACAGAGTTTAAATCAAAATCATCGATGAAACTGAAATATAATATTGGGCATCCATGGCGATCAAGTGCTAGGCCGGACCTTCAAAGGGTTCAGGAAATACGTCGTTTTCAGATTGAATTCGTACCCAGTGGCTGTATTTTGGCTGAAGAGTCAGGGGGCCAGGGCAGGAAAGTGGGGGTGCCCAACCCCATCAGAGCGATATCAGCGATATCATATTAATGTTTTTCACTTGAGTCAGACACTGTTTCAATTGACTTCGGCACTCATGCATGAGGAACGTCCCATGCACGTGTGTCCGAATCAAGGGAAAAGTTGTCTAACTCAAGTGAAAACATTATCGCCAAGGAGGCGCCAAGCTCTGTCTCATGGGTGCCCCGCC